GTCAATAATTTGCAGGGGGGGGGGGGGCTGGACTTGGAACGTTTGTGAACACAAGTATACTAGGCTGAGTTCTCTCTTGATGCTCTGCCCCTTCTTTTAGAAATGCTCGAAGCACTATTCCATGCATCTGGTTAAATGGGCTATTATCCTGAATGTTTTTAGGTCAGTGGGCACATTCCTAATTTTGAAAAACTGTCATTGTTAACTGATACTTAACAGTTTATTCTTTTAGTCCAATTTTCTGAAATTACCAGATATACTGAACTATGAGTCAGTTGACTAAAATATGTAGTAGCCTGTGGTTTATTGTTTTGTGCAAACTCACCCATTAGATAATTAGGTTACTTTAGGTCAACTATTATTTTTCAACCCAAATAATCTCATACCTATCTTTGTTTTATGGAAGCAGGATTATCTTGAATTCCTAGAGCAGATATGTGACATACATCCAATACATATAATTAAAGATTTTTATGTGTATTATAAGTTGGAAATTAATAATGGCCGTGTCATGAAATTATATATTTTTGTTTCATGCTGCATAGTAGAATATTCCCAATAACAGCTCCGTGTCTTGACAATTTAGCTCATTATCCAAATATTACTTCTAAGTAATAATATTTCCAAATATGCATAACTTCTAAATGGTTAGTCATATTTACTTGGAAGTTTTAAATATTATATTAATTAGAGAAGATAGATTCCTAGCTATCAAACTGAATACTTATAATTAAGAATATCATTTTACCACCAGATAAATCCTTTTGCCTCAGCAAATGGCAGTACCAGGTTAATGTCATCTGGGGTCAGAAAGGAAGCAAGATCAGACCTGGATAGTACTTGAATTGGAGAACTCGGGGGACAGTTAGGATGTTAAGTTAGATTGAAGAAAAAAAATGACAAACCTTCTTCTCATGTTTCAAAGAAAATTTCATTAATTTGTCCATGAAGTCAGGACTTTCTTTGCTTTACATGCTTTTTTTGACATAACAATTATTCACACAACACACAGAAGCACAACCTGACTTTAGTCTAGCATCCTATATACCATGTTTCCCCAAAAATAAGACATATTTTTTGCCCCCCAAAAGGGCATCAGGTCCTATTTTGGGGGGATGTCTTCCACTGACTCATCTCATGGTGGCGGCACTGATAGATAGCCCTGCCCAGCAGGAGTCCGCTGCCAGCCCACTTCTGCGGTCACTTGTGCATCACCCCCTGCCTCCATTTCACTATCAGAGGCCTTCTAGAAAGCCCTCTGCAGCCAAGAAATGGGCTCCAGATTGATGCGTGCATCGCCCCTGGCCTCCATTTTGTCATCAGAGGCCCTTTGGGAAAGACCTCTGCAGCTGATAATAGAGCTCTTGATTGAGCTAGTTTGCTTCAGTGTGTCATGAAAACTGAGGATAAACAAAGCATCCATTTGGAAGGTCGCCTGAGGCAGGACAGGAGGGAAAGTATAGGTAGTCATCAAGTTATGACTAATTGTGACCAGAATTTCCATCCCTAAACAATGCAGTCAATAAAGCATGATGCCATGTGACTGCATTGCTTAACAATAGTTATGCCAATTGTCATTAACTGAATCCACTCTGATCCAAGCCACCTCTAGCTTGGTTCTTCCCAGCCCTGAGTTCAGTAAGATAAAGGATTGTCTCCTCTTTAACTACCTCACAACTACCTATCTCCCCACATCTCTGTCTCGGTTTTGGATTCCTTGTACTCTTCTGCTTCTGCTAGTCTTGCCACGCTGCACTGCCAACTTTGCCTGTAATTTGGTCCTCCTACCACCCCGCCAATTTTGGTCCCCTTGCGCTCCCTGACCTTCATCCATTTTTGAAGAATCCATTGCAGAATCTAAGAGTTTTGGATAACTATCATTTAGCCTCCAACCATTTTAGAGGGAAGATTGTTAAGACAATTGTGGCAGACAAACTTCTCCAGAAGGTTATTTGGACCTTTTTCAGGTGGGTTTCAAACGCAGATGGGAGAATGGAACCATTATTTAGTCCCTTGTATGGCCTGGGAACCTGGATCAGAGTTGTACATCACTCTTCATACTTTTGAATCTCTAATGACTTTTGATACCATCAACAATGATAATTTACTGAACCACATATGGGTTTGGGAATGAAAACCCTGTTTGTAGTGGTTCTGCTTCTTTCTCCATTGGTGGTTTTAGGCAGTTGTGACGTGCTATGAGAGGTTAACAGTTAGCCCAATGGATATGTGGGATGCCACAGAGCTTGGTCCTCTTTCCCGGTTCTTTAATATCTATAGGTAAGATCATCCAACAGTTTGGGATGCTCATATTAGCTAACATAAGGGAGATCTTTCTGGTGTCCTATCAGTGTTTGGAGGCTGTAAAGGTCTAGATGGGAGAGGAGACATTGAAGCTGAATCCAACTAGGACAGAATTCCAATACTGAAGGTGTTCTCTGTCAATGCCAGTGTTACTGTTGTATAGGCAAGCATTGCCATAAAGGAACAGCTTTGGAATCGGGGGGTCCTTCCTGGCTTATGTGTGATGGCTTTTATCTATGAAGGGAGGTGGTGTGATAGACTACAGGAAAGAGCAGTTTCCAGAAAGGAGGAAGTACACTCCAAGGAATCGAGCAAGACAAGAGTTAACACAGACTGGAGCTGGATCAGAGAAAGAGATTTAGGATAGCCACTCCTAAAATCTTCCAAAGTATATTTTTTAGGGTTGGAGTAGTATAGTGTTAGACGGACAAAATTCTTTCTGTATGGTATAAGTAAATAAAGAAATAAACTTTGGTTGGGTTGTTCTGTGTTATTCTTGGGCTCGGCCTGACAAAACAGTAGAAGCTATAACTAAATGATTTTGTCAGTTTTGGCTGAAGTGCCAATTGTCGTCCTATCTGGTTCAAGAAGACCTAGTTATATGTACAGTAATTCAAGATCTTATTACCTCCTAATTGGACTACTGCAGTGCGCTTTACATGGAGCTTACAGAATTCAGGAACTGCAAATAGTCCAGGGTTTTATGGCTTGTCTACTTACTGGCTCCTGAAGTTGGAAGCACGTAACACTGACTTGTGGGGTCTTCATTGGTGGCCAATTGATGCCTGGATATAAATGAAGGTTCTAGTCTTGACCTAAAAACTCTCCATAACTTGGCATCTCGACACTTGCAGGACTGCCTGCTCCAGTCAGAATCAGCCTGTGTCACTGGAAAGAGCAACTTCCTATGGTCTCCACCTCTCCAGAAGCCAGAGAGGCTAGGTGAAAATATACTGCTTAGATCAGACTGTGGGCTTTAGGAAATGACTGAAAATGGAATTTTCCAGAGAGCATTATGCCACCTCATTTTTTTCCTGGTTTGTTGCTTTCATTGGGGTTTTCAAATACCATTATTTGTTTAAACCATAACCTGGGTAGTTTAACTGGTATATTTTATGCATCCAATTTTGTCCGAATGCAGCAAAATATAAGTTTAATCAATAAAAAAAATTATTTGGGTTCATTAGTGTTCAGTCCACATGGTTAAGCAGACTAAGCTTGTAGATCAACAAGTCCTATTTTTTTTTTTAATTTTATTTGGGTTTTCACAAAAAAAACATAATACAAATAAAACATCTTTTTTTGAAAATAGCACGGTCCCAGGTTACACTTCTTCATACAGACACAAATTCAATTTCATGCTTATTCTTGTGTTCTATTCCATATCTTATTACTGTTTTACATTTTCTACATAGTTTTTCCCCTCTTTTAATTTTCTCAACTTTATTTTGATTATCTCATCTCAATTCAAATCATTATATTTATACTTTTGTCTGTCCTGTTTCAATTTCATATTATTTTTTCTCATTAAACAAATTTTCTCCTGTAGTTACTAATTGGAGTATGACGCCTTTATATCTTTTAATTACATCCATTCAACTCTTATTTAAACTTCAATGTATACCTTTAAGATTATAACATTCAATACATAACTTCCAATCAAATTCTGCTTGGTACATTCTTAAAATACACACTATATTCTTAAAAAAAGATTATATATATATGTAAATAAACACTCGTTCCATTCCAATTCAATTCTATCATTAATATTCATTAACATCTTAACATCTTTAACATTTCTTTTCAATTAAATATCATACTTCCTTGGGAACACTTATGAACTTTCCATAATTAATTTTTTTCCCCATATTTCTTGACAAGTCCTATTTTTTCTAAAACCATAGTGGAGCTCAAGGCGCTAAAAACGATCCACAGGCATTGTGCCTAATTCATTTGGCTTCCATGTAATTTATTTTCCCTGTTCACTTAATAGGAACTTGTGCACACAGAAACATTAACAGCATTTGAGGAACTGTCAAAATATTTTCACGAGCAGCTTATTTCATTAAACCAAAGCAGCAGATTGATAGTCTTGGAACGGATTATGAATCATGATGGTCTTCGTTCAACCGTGAGAATTATAATTGTTAAAAAAAAAAACACCACTCCAGACTATTTCCGCTTCCCTTTATACTCTGGAGTTGCTCCATCACTCCTACCCTAGGAAAGCATCTGAAAAACCTGATCGGGCATCCAAGTGCTCACCGCCCGACCGCCTGCATGCGCTTCCCCTCGTCCTCCCTCCCCGGCCTTTACGAGAGAGAGAGAGAGAGAGAGAGAGAGAGAGAGAGAGAACTACGTCTCCCGACACGCTCAGAGGAACGAGCCAGCTGTTGAGCATGGCGCCTGCGCAATGCTGCGGAACCCACTTCATCGTACCACACCCCCGCGGAGGGAGGGAGAGAAGCCCGCCCATCTGAAACCTTCTCAGCAGAGGAAGGTGGGGGGGGGGGCGGTGAGAGGGAGGGCTTTTCCTTTTTTTTTTTTTTTTCCCCCAACGCTTTTACATGTAGGCACCGAGAATGGAGTAAGCGAAATCGGCGAAGCGAAGGGGAGAAAGAGTTTCGGGCTGGAGGAAGGAGAGGGAGGGAGGGAGGGAGGCAGCAGCAGCAGGCGGGCAAGCCAGCAAGCGGTGGTTCTTTCTTAAGGAAGGAGCTCGTCGGAGGAAGCCAGAGAAAGCAGCGCAAGAATGCCCTAAGGGCAGGGGGTTGGTGCCGCGCTGCCGTAGAGTCGGCGAAGGCGAAGCGCCTCTCTGGAAGCTGCCCATCGTCCGCTGCCTGCCGCGCGTCCCGCCCGAGCTTGTCAATGGAGCTGGAGAACATAGTGGCCAACACGGTTTTGCTCAAAGCCAGAGAAGGTAAGCCCGCTCGGCGCCAAGCATCTCTCTCCCCCCCCACTCCCTGCCTCCCTCCCTCTGCCCTGTCGCATTTCGACCTGTGCGAAGCGATGCCAAGCGGCGGAGGCGGGAAGGGGATGGGGAGGAGAAGGCAGCGGCGGCGGCGGCGGCATCATCCTCCGGGTTGGAGCGGGTGCGGTTGATTCTCCTCGTTCTGGAGCCGAGCTTTGCGGGGTGAACGCGGTGCTTCCAGCCCGGGCTTTGTTTAAAGGAAGCAAGAGCCGGGCTGGGGAGAAAAGCGGTTCTTTCGCAAGAGATTCGCCCTTGCCAACCCCAGCCCAAGTCTCCCATCTCTCTTGCCTTTTCTCGCCCCGCAAAAAGCCTGCGGGATTTCGCCCTGGATTTGATTGTGTTTGAGAAGGTCGGTCGGCGGAGGCGGCTCGTGGCGCTTTCCCCGGGTGGAAAGCACGTTCTGCTAAGCCGAAGAGTTGGGGCGTTCGGTCGGGATCCACTCAGTGGCACGAGGGGCGTGTGTGCGCGCGCTCTTCCATCCCCCCCCCCCAAAAAAAAATAAAAAAATAAAACCCCGAGCTATCGGGAGTTCGGAAGGGTCTTTTCGTATATGAAACCAATGTCCTAAACACGTCACTGAGAAGAAGGGGAAAGAGAGAGAGAGAGAGAGAGAGCGGTTCGAATGCATAGCTAGGGCTGAAGGCAATTACTGGACCTTGAAAATTGCACATGAAAAACCTCCGCCACCCGTGTCCCCTCACCCCACCCCACCCCCGCCCCACAGCTGTACGGTAAAAGCACCGTTTAAAGAATTGGGGGGGGGGGGGGGTAGGTTTTTTTTTTTTTTTTCATCAGATCCCGGAGTTTGGTGCTGTGTGTGCCCATTTGCAACGTAGAACATGTATGGGGCACCTTTGGAGCGGGCAGGAGAGTGGGGGAGACCTACGATCTTGCTCTCAGCCCTGAGCGATGAGCGGAATTACGGCCATTCCCAACTTCATCCCTGTTAACGAGCGATTCGGAATCCGTTTTACAACCTTTGGTCGCCTGGGTGAGGAAGAGGGTTTCTCTGCTTCGATGGCTGGATGCCTTCTGGATTTCCTTCCTTCCTTCCTTCCTTCCTGGCTCTTCCCGAACCTCTCCGAGGAGAGGATATGGGCTTTTTTCTGAAAGGTGATAAAGCTTAGCTCCTGAGCGCACAGCTTGCAGTGTTTGGAGGGGAGTTTTCATTCACTGCATTTGATGAATGAAAAAGAAATAAAATCTCCTAGTTCCTCGCAGGTTCCTCTAATCTCTTGTGACTGCTTGAATGTTTTAGGTTTAGCAGATGCTAAGGGATTATCCGAGGGGGGGCTGGGATGAGCAATTGCATCTGCTTCCAGGAAAAGCCGTCCTTTGGAGGCAACTGTTTCCCCCTTAATGCCCTATTCACACAATGTCCTTCAATGAAGGGGTGGGTGGGATACTTAAGGTCAGCATCCCTCTCTTGACGTTTTCTTGGCAAAGTGGGTTTAAAAAAAAAACGAAAAAACCACAACACATTATCTATTTAAAAATACACACTAATGAAAATTCTGGTCTAAGTTAAGGGTCTCCAACTTAGCTTGGCTGGCTGAGGAATTCTGTGAATTAAAGTCCATCAGTCTTAAAGTTGCCAGTGTTGGAGACCCTTGGTCTCAATTGTGTAAAGTGGATAGGAAAGATTGGATAGACAGCTGCCTCAGGGAGCCTTTTAAGAGTTACTGAAGGAGTAGTAGAATTAATACAACTTATATACATTTGAGAAAACCGCTTCTGGTATTTATGCATCTGTGTCTCGTAGGGAGCCTATCTAATAATCAAAAGTAATTGATCAACCAGTGAGCACAGTCATTATGTAACAACCCAGAAGATACTTCTGAAATTAATTCTTGGGTATAAAAACAAAAACAAAAAGGTGAGGTCATATGCCAAGGGAGAAAGGTAGGAGAATATTTTGCTTTACTTGAGAAGAGAATCTCGTAACTTTCCTGCAAGATCTTCATCTCCCATGCATCCTTACATATTGAATAAAGCTTTCAGTCCAACGTTTCTATATGCATGAACTGAGGGTTAAAAATAAACGAGTCTTATCTTAGCCCTAGTGGATCGCTAGAATCAGGCCATAGTATTTCTAAGCAAGGAAATCTAGTTGCTGACTGAACGCTAAGAGAGAAAAGTGATCACACAACATCTGTGAGGAGCCACCTGGTGGCAAGACATTATTACGCATCTTATGGCTTGAGAAAAACTTCCAAATCTTATTACCTGTACGTAAGAGGTGTTTCTGTGTGGAATAAATATGACTATTAGACATTTGAGGATATAAATATTGCCTTCTTTATATTCAGTAAATGTCTTTAATTTGTAAGGGTGCTGTAAGTAACTGGGTGAGCCTCATGCAGACTTTTTAGTTGTTTCTTTATTTGCAGAGTAGTAGATTTTTCTTTTTTTTTCCAGATTGCAGAATCTGCTATTTAAAAAATCCAAGACCCACTCCCCAATCCACCCCCAGTCATATAGCAGTGTTTTAATGGTAGAAAATTGGCAGCATTCAAGTGATTTCCTTCCTTCCTTCCTTCCTTCCTTCCTTCCTTCCTTCCTTCCTTCCCTCCCTCCCTCCCTCCCTCCCTCCCTCAGTCTAGTAGACCCTTAGGATTCCCTAGAACATAGTTTGAAAAAACTGTGCTAGACAATGTGTGAACTGAAGCTTACAAGCCATGAGTTGTTGGTTACGGACTTATGGTTTATGTTATCTGTTGTAATACAACTTCAAGAATGATTAACGTATGATTTTTTTTTTTAATATTATGGTTTCTTAAAACATGTCCTTCACGTGTTTTGTCATATGAATATACTTCATGCTTTTCTTCCCAGGAGACCTATGGGGCTGTGTAGTGAAAATACAATGTTTGAATTGACTTTTGTTGCCTGTATCAATGATGGATTTTGACTATCCCGTGACTTGTCAAACTCTCTTCAGAGATTACACATTTCTTTCATTCTCTTTAATATTACTTTATCTACGCAAGGTTTCTAGGCTCTGAGGATGGAGTCTTGGATATTACCTTTTTATGCATATAAATATTAGTGTAATTGTTGCAAAGGAAGATTATCACGAGTGCATGGAACAGAACTTGATGTATGTAGTAATGAGTGGGTACACTTTATCTTGTTCTATTATTTCATTTATACAAAACTATACTGATGACAAATGTTCATAGGGTTTCTGTGCCAAGCTTTCTGGAATGTACTGAACGGCCATTTTTCCACTTTCAGGAAAGGAGTCATGATTTACTCCTCGCCTGATCTTTTAAATCTGAATTATCTGGTTTTTAATGTTTTTTTTTTAACCACATTTCATTTAATTTTATTGTTTTGATTTGATTGGTAGCTGTTCCGGGAGCCCTATGTATAGAAATGTAGGATGGAAATATATTGATAAACATTTTATTCCATAAGGAATAGATGACGATAATTGGGACTTCAATCTGAGACGAGCTTCACAGAGAGATATTGTTTTAGTGTTTATGGGATTAGAACATTTTTAGTGGATTATACTTCAGCATATCTGGAAGATAACAATGAGAACATTGGATTCGTGGTTGTAGTACACTTCTATTTTTAAAGGAGGGGTCTTTCAGTTTATAGCTGATTTCCCAATAAATTACATAGGAATTCAAGACGTAGGGTAATAAATATTTTGCCATCATTTTAGATTAAAAATTAAAAGCTGTTTGGTGAAGTTTTTACATTTCTTGTTTAATATAGATCTTCCTTGGATATTTTCTAAAATGTCCAAAATTTCTAAAGAGTTTTTAGGAAGTAAATCAGTCACCCTAGCACCTATTGGTAGATTGATACTTTAGTTCTGTTTTTAGAATATATGTTTTTGATATAAACTACTGGGAATTTATCTTTTTAGTATGATGGTCTCTAAATGTAATAAAATAACCAGTGGATTTAATAATAAAATAAAATAAAATAATAAAACAATCTGTGGATCTCTAGATGCCTCTTAGTTGACACAAATATATTTGGAGAGCCACAGGTTCAGAAGGGAAATATAGGAAAGTGCATTTTAGTTAGTACTTTTAAAAAATCAGTTAACGGAATGGTACTGTAATTATGAACTGCATTCTTACTCATGGACACAGGAACAGCTAGTTTTCAGCTGTTTTAATCGTACTACGGTGTAGTTTGTTGAATATTTAGCTATAATTAGAAAGTAATAATTATTTCAAACACGGTATATATAGGACAGCAAAATATAACAACAATGTTTTGAGTTTGAATGCAGGGTCATAAGATTTTTGTGGAATTAAATGGCTGAGAGTAATGGGGTATTTACATTTTTAAATTGCATAGAGATGATTGTATGGTTGGTTGTGTTTAGTTTAATTTTTTTCTTTTTAGTGGTGTTTGTCCAGTTTTTACTTTGTGGAAGAGCACCTCATTTCATTGCACCCGCTTGCGAGTGTAATGACAAATAAATTCTTATGTCTTATGTCTTGTGTGTGTGTGTGTGTGTGTGTATGTTTAAAGAAATAAGACAAAAACTAAAAGAGAAGGGAACAAAAAAAGATAAGAAAAAGATGAAGCCAAAAATGCAGACAAAAGAAAGAAAATTTAAATAAGTTATTTCCAATGTTCTTTTACAACAGTTATAAATACAAATGCAAATGACTTTTTGATCTATAGTTATAACATTACTTACATTTTTTTATGATTGTTTCTTTTAATCATCAGAACCATATATCATACTTTTGTTTTTTTTCCTGTTTCATATAAAAAACAATAAGGTTTTAAGCTTAGGCAATATATTTTCTTTAACAAAGCTGTCAATTTAGCTATCTTCATAATGCGTTCCTGTATTGTATCTAAACTTGAATCTTTCTACTTTTGTACATATAATCATGTTGCACAACATTATTATTGTGCAGTTATCATATATAAAAAGTTCCATGATTTTATTCCAACTGTTTATTCAT